GATTTGTATGTTTTCCAAACCGGTAAAATTAAAAGTCCTTTTTAAAGTAAATATATTATACAAAGGTGTCCGTTGAAATCTAATGACTGTAAATTTAAGACATGGCCCGTCTGTGAGATGAGGGGCTTCGTCAGGTTTTTAGTGGGTAGGGCCCCCCTCCTCTCGGGCAGCCGCTGAGCCAACCCTCGGGCTGGCTGAGCGGGTGGGCGAGAGGAGGAGCGGAGGAGTCCCACATAACCTCGCCGCACTCCCAAGGCGGTGGGGTATGCGTAACGCATTTTCCTGACGGAAAACAAGGCCAGCGCACGTAGTCCTCTGACGGAAACAGGAAGGTGGGATAACGGAGAATAACTCCCCAGAACACTCGTCAGGTGTTTAGTCACCTCTTCGTCGTCTGTGATGTGGATCGCACGCCGCTGTAACCTATCTAATGCAACTATCGAGTAAGCACTTGGTGGAGCCATCCCAGAGGTGCGAGCAATATTCCACGCACGACCGTACCTGCGTCTTGTTGCTCAGGCGTGTAAAAACGCCGCACCTTGTTCATAACTCAGGGCTATTTTCATCGGGTAAGAGAAAGAATTAGGATAAGTGACGCAATAGTGATGCTCTGCCCCCCTAGCATGAGACCGCGATATGATATATATCGCGATTTTATCACGCTTAACTGTCAAATTACTATGGAGTTTGACAGTAAGACGCGATAAAAAACGTGATATAATGTAAATTATGGTACTCATGCTACAGGGACTGGTATTACAAGTATCTTGATGCTATGATGAGTATTGTATGGGGTGTAAGGGGTTCTAAATACACCTGCAAGAACCCAAGCCAACCTCACCTTTACGTGGTGCACCCTGTCGATCAACAGACGAGGCTCTGGCAAACCGATCGATGGCGGTATAACCATCCAATGACGTGGGGGAGGGAAATCTCACTGGTGACGGGCAGCAGCGTCATCAGTGAATTAACCTACGTTCTGCGATCGCCAACCCGCCTGCCCAGCGTGGCGATTACGGGCAATACCTCCAATGTGCACAAATTGGCGTGCAATTGGAGAAGCCTATGTCCAGCAGTGGACTAGGATAGGCTGTTGATGATGATGAGTATTGCCATCAGACGAGCTGATTTGCCACCATTTTAGATTTAAATTAAACTGACATGTATTCTTGAGACACTTCCAAGTATTCCTGAAATTCTCGCTCTTATCTGTGTGTACGAGCGGCCGTTTAGCTTGTCATTATAAAGCTTACATCTATAACTTACTTATAGCAAGAGTCGATCCACTGCCCTTTGTTTCCAAAGCCAGCCTAAAGGTCAACTTACCTACATAGTTAAATATTATCATATCCCTCGTGGGTTCGGGGCATTTGAATATACAATAGTGTGAGACAGTTTTTTTTATATATAATTCCCACAGGACCACCCAATATCTCTTCGAGATTTGACATCGTCTAGCCTAAAATTGTTGTCAATGTCAATTTTTAGGTTCATCACACATACAACATTAAGGTGTATGAATAAAAATCTTGCTTCGGATAATATTAGCTTTAATTTCGGTCGTGAAGTTAGACTTTATTTCACTTTATCGTCCTAATGTACAGAAAGAAGTCTTATTTTGTTTTAAACTTTCATAGCCACTAACATTATAGTAATATAAGTTGCCGAAATATCGGAAACTCACTAAAAACAAGGTGCATGGTAACAATCCTGTAAATAACTTATATTACTATAAAGAAGTCTTATTATTGTGAAATTATGATATTGTTAGGTGTTAATGAATAAGCCTTAATAAATTCTGGTGTATTAAAATGAATTCACAAACGACGTGAATTTTTCTAAAATCCTATAAATTCTTACAAAAAATCGTGCATTTTTCGTTTCCAGAATTATTCTTAATCTCCGTATCTTTTCACTGTGATGTCCAAATGATTGATACTTATTTTGTTGAATCCAGTAAGCTCCTGACACTGAGGAGCGTCCCTTCAATTTCTGATATCGCCTCGTCTCGTCGCCCTAAAAGGTTCACATCAACTTCTCCACAACAGACAGCTACATAATGCTGAGAAATTGACGATCATCGTGACTTAATATCAACCGACGACCAAAGCAGCCATTTTGTTTCTAATGCTTCACAAAATTCTTATACAGGAGGAGTCCCACATAACCTCGCCGCACTCCCAAGGCGGTGGGGTATGCGTAACGCATTTTCCTGACGGAAAAAAAAGGCCAGCGCACGTAGTCCTCTGACGGAAACAGGAAGGTGGGATAAAGGAGAATAACTCCCCAGAACACTCCTCGTAATGTAGATGATAGAATGCGCTATAATGACCTTAATGACCCCGTCATGGTATCATTGAAGAGTCTCGCGGTGTTTAGTCACCTCTTCGTCGTCTGTGATGTGGATCGCACACCGCTGTAACCTATCTAATGCAACCATCGAGTAAGCACTTGGTGGAGCCATCCCAGAGGTGCGAGCAATATTCCACGCACGACCGTACCTGCGTCTTGTTGCTCAGGCGTGTAAAAACGCCGCACCTTGTTCATAACTCAGGGCTATTTTTATCGGGTAAGAGAAAGAATTAGGATAAGTGACGCAATAGTGATGCTCTGCCCCCCTAGCATGAGACCGCGATATGATATATATCGCGATTTTATCACGCTTAACTGTCAAATTACTATGGAGTTTGACAGTAAGACGCGATAAAAAACGTGATATAATGTAAATTATGGTACTCATGCTACAGGGACTGGTATTACAAGTATCTTGATGCTATGATGAGTATTGTATGGGGTGTAAGGGGTTCTAAATACACCTGCAAGAACCCAAGCCAACCTCACCTTTACGTGGTGCACCCTGTCGATCAACAGACGAGGCTCTGGCAAACCGATCGATGGCGGTATAACCATCCAATGACGTGGGGGAGGGAAATCTCACTGGTGACGGGCAGCAGCGTCATCAGTGAATTAACCTACGTTCTGCGAGCGCCAACCCGCCTGCCCAGCGTGGCGATTACGGGCAATACCTCCAATGTGCACAAATTGGCGTGCAATTGGAGAGGCCTATGTCCAGCAGTGGACTAGGATAGGCTGTTGATGATGATGAGTATTGCCATCAGACGAGCTGATTTGCCACCATTTTAGATTTAAATTAAACTGACATGTATTCTTGAGACACTTCCAAGTATTCCTGAAATTCTCGCTCTTATCTGTGTGTACGAGCGGCCGTTTAGCTTGTCATTATAAAGCTTACATCTATAACTTACTTATAGCAAGAGTCGATCCACTGCCCTTTGTTTCCAAAGCCAGCCTAAAGGTCAACTTACCTACATAGTTAAATATTATCATATCCCTCGTGGGTTCGGGGCATTTGAATATACAATAGTGTGAGACAGTTTTTTTTATATATAATTCCCACAGGACCACCCAATATCTCTTCGAGATTTGACATCGTCTAGCCTAAAATTGTTGTCAATGTCAATTTTTAGGTTCATCACACATACAACATTAAGGTGTATGAATAAAAATCTTGCTTCGGATAATATTAGCTTTAATTTCGGTCGTGAAGTTAGACTTTATTTCACTTTATCGTCCTAATGTACAGAAAGAAGTCTTATTTTGTTTTAAACTTTCATAGCCACTAACATTATAGTAATATAAGTTGCCGAAATATCGGAAACTCACTAAAAACAAGGTGCATGGTAACAATCCTGTAAATAACTTATATTACTATAAAGAAGTCTTATTATTGTGAAATTATGATATTGTTAGGTGTTAATGAATTAAGCCTTAATAAAATCTGGTGTATTAAAATGAATTCACAAACGACGTGAATTTTTCTAAAATCCTATAAATTCTTACAAAAATCGTGCATTTTTCGTTTCCAGAATTATTCTTAATCTCCGTATCTTTTCACTGTGATGTCCAAATGATTGATACTTATTTTGTTGAATCCAGTAAGCTCCTGACACTGAGGAGCGTCCCTTCAATTTCTGATATCGCCTCGTCTCGTCGCCCTAAAAGGTTCATATCAACTTCTCCACAACAGACAGCTACATAATGCTGAGAAATTGACGATCATCGTGACTTAATATCAACCGACGACCAAAGCAGCCATTTTGTTTCTAATGCTTCACAAAATTCTTATACAGGGTGTTACAAAAATACAAATAAATTTTGAAGGGAGTTGAAGTACATTATATAAAGAATCTTCTCTAATTTCCTTTATTATAGCAGATTTATTACTACTCCTGGTAAGGTGCATGAGCCCGAACTAGTGACGTGTCTTAAAATGATCGATATTTTTATTAATCATTAAAAATAACTGTTTTTATAAAAAGTTCAAACATCTTGCAAATATTTTAAGAAAATTAGAGAAGACTCCTTATATGGTGTACTTCAACGCCCTTCAAGCTTTATTTGTATTTTTGTAACATCCTGTAGAATCCTAATAACTTTTATACATGATAGAACTTTAAAAAAATCTTTTACGGACTATAAAATGTGGGTTGTAAAGGAAGAGCAATCAAAACAACAGCTTTTCACTTAAGTGATTTTATTACAACTGTGACATTGCGACAATTATTCACATTCGTATGTAAGTATATTTACACGATATGTACATTTTTACAGAGTAATTAATTAATGGTATACAAACAGTAAACCTTAGAGTCGCTATGCGATAAAAAAATTACACTTTAATAAATTCATCGTTACAACCCTAGGCCGAATCAACGGTTACGATTTCTCAATTTTGTACAGATAACACGAATGGCATAATTCGACTCGCAAGTATCAAGAACACTGGTCCACCCCTAGCCGCGCGAACTGGCGTGTAAAAGTGGACCTGCCGACCGACAGCCCGCATAAGACAGGGCTCATGATTGTCTCATGCAGCTGTCAGGATACACAGTCTTAGAGGTTTAGTCGATGGAGACGATTAGGGTTTCCTCCTCGTGGAGAGCGAGGAAGGCCTGGCGAGCTTGCCGCGAGGCCCGCACTCAGAGGCGCGTGTGCGACATGCCGTTGGGCGCTATGAGGGGGGCGAGTGGGGTCGCGCGTGCTTCCAGGGGCAGCGCCTCGCTGGCCGCCACGGACCGTGACGTCAGCGCCGTGGACGCCTCCGAGCGCGACCCGCCTGCCGCCCCCGCCGCGACCGACAGCCGCGACTGCTCCGCCGCGCGTGCCTGTGCCCGCGCCGCTCCTCCCCCCCTTTTCTTTGGTATCACGCTGTTCTCCACGTGGAGGGTAGCGTTCACGTCCTTGCCCGCTGCACAAGTGCACGCCTTCAGGAAACTCTTCTTAAAATTATCAGACAAGAATGCATAGAGAATGGGATTCATTGCCGAGTTGCTGTAGCTGAAGCAAGCCGCCACTAGAAAGACCGTTATGGTTATACGGCTCGCGCACTCTCTCGGCGGCGAATATATCAATGCCACCTGGAATGCCCAGTATGGCAGCCAGCACAGCACGTAGACTGCTATCACAGTCAGCACCAGCTTGGTCACTTTTCTGTGCGATCGTTTCTTCTCTTTCGATTTATTTTTCGGTCCGACTGTCTTTAATTTTTGTATTACGAGGCAGTAGAAAACGAATATCAGTGTTAGCGGTGCTGCGAAACCTAATGCGAAAGAGTATAGAGTAAAAGACGTTTGGCCTTTGCTGAACTCCTGTTCCGGCCAGACGATATTACAAGAAAGACCATTCTCTGTCGGGATTAGTGTAGTGTACATGAAGATCGGAGTCATGACGAGGGCCGAAGCTGTCCAAGCTGCAGCAGACACTACTCTCGAAACAAAAGGCGTTCTCAGTCGAGGAGCAGCTATGGGGTGGCAGACCGCTATGTATCTATCAGCGCTCATGATGCAGAGGAATATGCTGCTGGTAAACTGGTTGATGCCGGTAGAGATCATGTAAGCTTTGCACATAAATCGACCGAAGGGCCAAGAGCGCAGAGACATGGTGATTATGAGGAAAGGTATGCCGATTAAGAAGCATTCATCGGCGATGGCCAGATTGACGATGTACATGTTGGTGACGGTTTGCATTTTGGAGTAGCGAAGCACTACATAGATGACGAGGGTATTTCCCAGCAGACCCACGATGCAGACGAGCGCGTACAGCACCTGCGTGACCACGTACACCACGGGCAGGTTGATGTTGGGGCAGTTCTCGAAGGTACCGTTGCCGAAGGACGTGTTGTAGTCGTATGTGAAATTTCCGTACATCTCTACGTCTTCGAGCTCCATTTTGACAGTGAAGTTGAAGTACTTGAAAGAAAGATGTCAGGCAGCTGGATTTACCTGTAACAATGAAAAAATCCATACAATGCATCGATGTAATTAATATATATCCGACATAATTTGCATTGAAAAAAGCATTATGGCATTTAAGAGATATAAAGAATGGTATAAAGATTTTAGATTTGGTGTATTAACATTTTGTCAGTTACTATTAGTTTTTAATCTTCCCTAAAGGATCCAAGGCATTATGTCGCAGTGCGTTAGCGTGTTTGGTCTGCAATCCTGGAAGATAAGCAACTTTGCAGTGGCCGGTCGTAAGATGGGTGAACAAAATTTATTATCTCGTTCCGTGCTACAGAAGCCATGTTTAGTCATTGGTCCCGGTTCCATCTACAGTCGTCAGCACCCACCGATCTGCATTGGGCTCGTGTGGTGGATCATTGCCTCAATCTCCCTACCCTATCCCATCCTTAACGGAAGACTATACCCCAGTAGCGAAGACATTAATAGGCTAACGATGATATTAATAAATCAACATAACGAGAGCTACAACATTATTAACAAGTTCTATTGTAATAATTATGTACATCTAAGAAATACCTTTTCATAATAGAACATTTCCAATTTCTTAATAAGTTCATAGAAAGTAAAGGTAAATCTGACATTTCCCCTATTAAGCACGATATTGATAGCAAATGTCGTATCGTGACCTTTCCTTAGACGGCTGTCTAAACATGCGGGGTGAGGCCAAACATTCAACATACCCTTACTGTGCAGAATTTCTGTGGAATATATACTTACATTTTGCATTGGCAAATTATTTCCGTAGCTGTCGCTAACAGGCTGTAGCAGATCTGAAACAACAGACATCCAAACATTATTCAATTGTACGAATTCATGGAGTCCAATAATCTAATTTCACTGGAAACACAGTTTGATTCTACGATCATTTTCCTTATCATTCTGAGACAAGCTCTTAACATTAAGAAAAAATAATTCAGTAATATTAAATCATCAAATAAATATCGTGTCATTAGCCACGAAGAATTTGTGTGGAAAATATTTACTGACTAACTAAATTAAGTAAAAATTTTAGAGTTTTGCTGCATATTTGAGTAATACTGTAGAAGAAAATATAAATTTTATATCAATTAAAAATGGCACATAGTACAGTGGCACTATTTCAAGAATAATCAAAATAATAGTAATTGATACTCGAAAACATAATATATTTTCGAGAATCAATTACTATTATAATTGGATAGCTTGACCTTTAGGTTAACTTATGTATTTTCACGTAATCATTATTTTTAGAGCAATATCTAAATATCTCCTAATATAAATCTTCTGATCAGCGGCTGCACAAGCAGGGTACCAATACAATGACCTTCAATAGAATAACTTCTGTGTGGTATATCCAGATTTAGTAGGACAACATTCAGACATTAGAAGACTTTACAATTTCTGTTAGTTACCCACTAAACTAATCATAATATAAAATCCATCCGTTAGTTTAATTTCAGCACAACCTAAAAACTGACTTCTGATGAACAAGTTTTATTAATACATCTGAAGCTTATATTAAACTTGTATAATTTGGTAATGTCGCTATAAAGTTTTTCTGGTTTCTAGTTACAGACAGTCCACTAAATCATTCTTAAAATAAAATCCATTAAGCTGTGTGTTGCAACCCCGTACAATCAAACCAGCATTAGCCGTCCCGCTGACAGCACCATTGTGCCGACTCTACCATTACTCGTGGCGTCATCGCACGAATATTGGCTAATGTCTATTTGAAACGCTTTGTTAAGGAATGACTAATGAAGCGCCTGCTGACATGCTCCTATAATCACGTTGAAATTTTTGACGGATGAAAACATAGGTTAGCTGAGATAGTCATTCTCGATTTTTAACTATGGTGAATATACTAAAGATGTCAACTCCGCATTAACATTATCAGCCGTACAAAGCCATCTGCTAAGTGTAGATCACCTACAAGGATATCTACAACGATCGGTCCCGCACCACACGCGTCCATCAGGATCCCACGACCTTCACGATATCGCCGGTTCAAACTGTGGGGGCTGCCTAATAATTTAAAGATATTAAAACCCCTAAAGAGGTGGGGATAAATTGAAGCAGAGGCTATTGACCTAATCGGGTGCCGCAAAATGGACCACATTCCCGACACGCATTATGGGGACTGCAGTCCTCAAATTGCGTGTCGAGTGAGCGGTCCTGGAGTATTTTCTAATATTAAATCAAAAGTCATGGGCAGGACTCTGTCCATTTCATCGAGCTTTGAAGATGGGTGAAATGGATAGGGAGGAGTCTACACATATTTTAGTTGCATCTCCCGCTGACGAGGCTTGCGTTACGCCTTTTCCACAAATGACAAAAAAAAGACTATTGACCTAACCTTGCTACGATCCGTACATGCTCACGTCACGGTTTTGGTAGATTTACGGGGAAGGTCCCCGTCTTTGATTACAAATGTCACTAATTAAATTGATAAACGGTGTTCGACATAAGAAGGAGTATCAGTGTCAGCCATAAACATCTTGAATTAAAAAAACCAAGCAGTTTAGAATATAAAGACGATGAAACAAAAATAACGTCATAAATAATGACTTTAAATTATAGGAGGGAGAAAAGAGACATATGGTAATGATGTAAATCTATATAATACACACTTGCGACATTAAGTTTGAGGTTATATTTGTTGAACGAGAAGAACTCAATAAGAAATAATCAAATAAGTTAAATCGGAAGTTTATTTTTGAGCATTTATCTGCTACATCTGTAAATGTAATGATAACAGAAGAAAACCCACCAGTAAATTCTTTTATTCCACGCGCTCCATGCATTATAGAGAACGAGGACAGAAGGAAAGTCAATACCACTATTTATGGCTTGTGTAATGCATTAGATAAAATAATCAGTGTCTAATAGGTACCTATATTTAGTATTCCCATTCCCAGGAATCAAATAGTTTCAGCACACTGTAATTTTCTCCTGACGGACAGACGTCAGTATCGCTAAAAGCATTTTATGCTTTGAGTGATGGCTATCGAACACTAAGCGATAATTTATTATTATTTCTTTTTAGGGTTTCGTACCCAAAGGGTAAAAATGGAATCCTAATCCTGTCTCTCTGTTGTTTGTCTGTCCATATGTCACGGGTCAAAGCGAATGAGATGATGAGCAAATGAGAAGAACTGGGAGTTCCACAAAGTCAAATATTTAATTTAAAATTCAACTAAGTTATTTTTCATGGGGAATCCTATACATGAAAAGGAGACTATAATATTTTTTTTCTTCTTTACCCCAGCATGTGACACATCGTTGTCTAGAGCTCGTTGACTGACCCGTTTGTACGGGAACCGATGCTGCTGGCTGTCACCCACTACATTTCTACCAAATTTCTTGATCTTGTAGAACAAAGTTTACAATAGGGAAGATGGTTGGTATATACCATCAGCTTGGGAACCTATTATACAGGAGATAAAATCCCAACCCCGAGCACACACTGCAAGACCATCAGATACTATTAGTTCTTTTTGTTTGCATAATTTAACATAAGAAGGAGATAGAAAGCCTCTCTTGAGTTTGTTTCGCCGGTTCTTCTCAGGAAGGTCTCCCAATTCTGGAACCGGTGGTAGTTTACGGTAGTTAGGGTCAAATAAATAAATAAACTCAAAATTACAAACAAGAATTTTAAATAAAATACTTTATTAAGTAAATTAAATAATAAATTCATACATAGACAATAAAATTTTAAAAATCTTCCAATGAAATAACCGAACGCTCAATATAAGTCTTTCGAAGGTAGCTCGACAATTTTAAATAAAAAATCATTATTCTGACGATGCAGACCTGAAAAGGCTGCGAAACGTCAATAAATAAATAAAGTTTCGTGCATTAACCCGTAAAAACTAGTTTTATTGAACAAAGTTTCCTTGAAAATTAATTGCAAAATACATCGACCTATAGCGCTAGTATCCAGTCGGCCCAATATGCCGCATGACCACATTGTTTACGTTGGAATGATTTGTGAGCGGAGGGAACCATAGATCAGAAGGTGTTTATAACGGCCCATGCTGATTGATTGAATAAGAGTTCACTATTTCTGCCAATTCAACAATAAATTATCTGCAAACGCGTATTTAAGGGCCAGGCGTCATTTTCTTACTTACAACCTTAGATTAAAACAAAAAGGGTAGATACGGCACTAGCCTCACAAAAGTGATCCGCATGAATTGTGGTCCACGACCCTAATCGCTTTAGTCACAACTTGACAAGCAAACGACGTACATGTGAACGCCAAAAAGAAATATTGCTAGTATTTTGTGTTTATGTGATAAAACAATGCTTAAGTGTGTTTTTAAAAAGTGCTCAAATTGCTCAAGAACTAAATATAACACCCACAGCATCACTTTTCATTCGTAAGTACTATAAAAAAAATATTTTTATAAAAATTGCTGTTTGTTTTGAATCTTATTCGGTAGTGACGTCGAGTACTGGTCTCGTGATTGGTCGGTAGTGCAGTGACGCGGATCTCGCCGTCTCGTTCGCGCTGCCGTTGAAACTTAACGTGCTTTTCGTTCGGGTCGGTAATGCAGTGACGCGGATCTCGCCGTCTCGTTCGCGCTGCCGTTGTTAACGTGCTGTTTCGTTCGGGTCGGTAATGCAGTGACGCGGATCTCGCCGTCCCGTTCGCGCTGCCGTGTGATCAGTTTTTGTTTGATGCAAGTATGAGCGTACCGTATCTACCCTTTTTGTTTTAATCTAAGCTTACAACTATATTATTAAAGGACATGATAAAGTTTTGTATGAGCGACTGCCCTGTCCATGTATAAATACTGTACGTTTAGTAATATTTAATGGTAAATGGCTGAATATTTATAATTTCTATGAAACAAGGCTCAGGAACTTTTGATAAAGTCACCATCTTGAAAATTATGAAAACTCTTACTAAAAGATGTTGCCAATTATTTACAGAGTCATCAAATTCCCATTTTCTTAGAATCTTTCTTCCCATTTCTCTGATTAACTCTTCACAAAAAGTTTTTTAAAGCAAAAATAAATACAAATAATTTGCTATCGTCGGCCTGACAGGAAAACTGAGAAGTTTTATTTTGTCCATTTTCAAAAATTAAAGGATTAATTATCATACAGACTTGTTTCAAGCCTGATCATATCATGTTATAGTTTAGAAATAATATTGTTTATTTCGTTATACTTACACAAATATTTTTTGTGTACATTTACTGTTCATTTATTTTATAGCACAGTGTGACCTAAACCCGCACTTTACGCACGCTTTTCCGTGACCTAAGTTGCCTATTTCTGCACGGTGTGTAAATGAATTGACCAACTTCACTCATGTAGAAAAAATAAAAGGAAACACATTTAAATGTCATTTCGAGCATAAAAACTCACAGCAAACAAATGACAAATTACCGATAGGTTAGGAATTCTTGTTTGAATTATACGAGTACAAAAAATAAAGCTCATTCCCGTTGTTTAATATATTGTTATGCCAATCAAGGTATAAACGTTCATGGATACATTGAAATTCTATTTTGTTGTAATGATGTTTGATTTTTTCCTTTTTGAAATATAATTTCAAAATGGTAATCTGAACCGGAATTCTTTCTTTTCAGAGTTTGACTTGCAGTCTGTATTGCAATTCTTTGTGATTGCAATACATGAATTTTACTTTCAAAACACTAATCGCATCCCCCCCTCTTGCCCGCGTCCAGGGCGGGTTTATGTCACACTTGCTATAAAATAGTATACGATACTTGTGGCCTAAGTTGTCTATTACTGCACGGCGTGAAGTTAGCGCCCGAGCGGAGCGAGGTAATGTACTATTATAAAACGGAACATTTTGCTTTTGAAACAGACATGAAGTCAATTTTTATACTTTTTAATGTTTGATTATTTCACGAAAGTTCTATGTGAATAATAAACACGTTATAATTAATAAGAAAATATTGTACAGTTACGAACTAGTGCGAAATATTTATACATATTTGTTTCTTAGGTTTTCACGCACATCAGTCATTAAATAAAACTAGTTTTTACGGGTTAATGCACGAAAACTTTATTTATTTATTGACGTTTCGCAGCCTTTTCAGGTCTGCATCGTCATTTTTGACGACCTCCGTGGCCGAGTGGTTTGTACGCCGGGTTTCATGGCTGTCGCCGACTCGAGAGGTCCCGGGTTCGAATCCCGGTGGGGGCAGATGTTTGTGTGATGAATACGTGCATTTGTACTCCAGTCATGGATGTTTAATATGTATTTATATAAATATGTATATGTACAGTATATGTATTCTATCCGTTACCCTAGCATCCCATAACACAAGCCTTATAGTGCTTACTTTGGGGCTAGGCTAATTGGTGTGAGTGTCGGAAATATTTATTATTATTTATTATTATTATTTTATTTATTTATACATGTTAAGGGCAGTTTCTTAGCCGACATGGCTACACACGCTATACATTAATTTAGATAAGGAATTTTTTACCATAAACAAAATTTAGATGAGGAACTCGACGGTACAGGTGATTTGCGCATTCAGCAGTGACCAAAACTCTTCTATCTTGAGTTCCTCCGTGCTTCGGAAGGCACGTTAAGCCGTTGGTCCTGGCTGCATCTGCAGTCGTTAGTACCCGCCAATTCGCACTGGGCCCGCTTGGTGGGTTATGGCCCAATCTCCCTATTTCCATCCATAGGGAAGGCCTGTGCCCCATCAGTAGGGACATTAATAGGCTGATGGTGACCCACTTCTTTGGAAAATGTGGCCTAACCTGGTATCTTACGCATGCGCACCGAGACAAAAATAATGATTATTTGCAGACATTTTGCGAATGTAAGATGCAAGATTCGCGTAATGCAAGACTAAATTTTAACATCAGTTAATTCCTCTTTATCGAATAAGTTATTGTCTAAGAGCCGGTGGGAGATCTATCTTCACCGATCTGAAAACTCGATGAGAGATATTTTTTATTAAATATATTACTGCAGATGCAGCCGGGACCAACGGCTTAACGTGCCTTCCGAAGCACGGAGGAACTCGAGATAGAAAAGTTCACTTTTGCTTACCTTCAACGATCGCAGCTGATTGCGCATATTCTGTGTATTAAAAACTATCAGTTGAGATAAAATTCATTCGGTTATCAAAATATTGAAGGTCATGAAAGAAAATTGATTAAAATTAATTAAATTAAAAAAAGCGATGAACTCTTTTCGATAGGCAAGTCATCATAGGCATATTTGTTTATAAATTATATTTGATGAAAAATATGTCTCATCTAGTTATCAGATCGGTGAAGGTCGATTTTATACGGTCTCCCCTAATGTTCCAGGAAATGAACCGGTTAAAGTGAAAAGATATTGGAAAATGCAAAAGTGCTTTCAATAAGTCAATTTGAATAAAGTATCATTTCATTTTTACTGGAAAATATTGATTTCTAAAGCCCATCGGACGAGGTTTTGGGCTAAGTGTAACATTATTAAATAGCTGCTGTCATGTTTGTAATTTTTATTTTTTAGCATGTGCCTGCTCGATGTATAAATCTAAAGAAAATGTTACTAGAAAAAAATCCACGCGGACCATGCAGCAGGACCGTAAACACGCACCCTTCGCAATCAGGGCGAATGCACTGACCATTATGCTACTGCGGCCCTAATGGCCGTGTCGAATTCTTTCTAGCCTTTCTTAAGCTGCAAGGCAGCGCCATCTCTTCGCATTGTACGTAACCCACAATGTCAAATGAATACCTTTTACAAGTATTAAACATTTGAAAGCAGAAATGGCAATTATAGTTGTAATTGTGCTTTTATTTTTTTAAGCATTCAACTATGTTTAAATCTAATGAAAAGTTTACTAGAAAAAAATGCTTAAATGCTATTGAATTCAATATCTTCTTAGAGCGTTAAGTTAATTTCTATCTCAGTGAATAGTTATGTAATAAAATCTAAGGAAAAAAATTCACTAGAAAAAATTCCACGTGGACCAGGCAGCAGACGAGACAAAATTTGGTTCTTTAGATTTAAACATCTAGCAGTTAAAGATTTAAAAAATAAAAATATAGGGTATGTAATTATTTACTTACCCATTTATATGTCTTTCCAAGCCTCTCATTACGTCTAATCTGAAAAAAAATAAGAAGCCAATTAGGAAGAAGCCAAATACCATATAACACAATTTTATTTAGTTAAATTATTCACATAACTTTCGAACGAAAAGTTGAATTTGACAGATAATTGTTCGAAATTTTAACCTCAATTAGACGAAATGAAAAATGTTACCTTTTCATTTTCGTTTTGGATTTTTGTTTAAATTAAGCATAAAATGACGCTAAGAGTATTTCTTATCAAGGCTGCTCAGCGTGAACAATATTTTTTTGGCATGTAAAATTAATAAATAAACCAAAATTTTGTATTGTTGTATTTCCAATACTTCAAAATATGAAACGACAAATTTAGGTTGACATGCAATGGATTGCATCAACTCTACAAATTAGTCGGCTAGCACTATCAAAAAAGGTTCTTTTAATGTCATTGAAAATTTTGTTGTAATGTAATATTGTTTCCAAGTAAAACAGGTAATCCAAAAGTAGAGAAAAAAGAACTCAGAAACATGACTCATTTCATACGTTCACCCAATGACAGTGAATAAAAAGGTTTCTCAGTTTAAATTAAAACAAACTATCATTTACAAAACCAAAATCAATACTGTAATACAAGATTAATGTTGAATTCGGTTTCTAGGTAAAATTTAATGTTCATAATAAGAATTTTGATTGTACCTAAATAGCAGCCGTGATTTAATAAATCACAAATTGATACCTTAGATTATAATTGCTTATACTTATTTTCATAGATAGGTCCGACAAATGACTCCACTCCACCTGATGTTAAGAGGCCTTTTTCAAAATTGCGCCGCTGTCGTACTGATGCGCGCGTTGGTAGATTTGCACTAGTATATATTGCATTTTACGGGTGAGGTTTCGAGTCTTATAAAATAATTATTAATGAAGTGATTATAAAAAAATATAAATATTTCAGTAGTTTCAATGATGGTAGATTAGTTTTATGAAAGTTTTTGATAGTAATTCTATTTAATTCAATATCAAAATACGAGGTAAACCTGCATTGTTTTTTAGGAAAACTCACAAAGGTTGGATGATTTTTTTGATAATTAATAAGATAGAAAATCAAAATTTTAATACATTATGTTACAACATGAACATATTTCTGATGTCGTAGTAATTAATTTGATCTAAATAATTTATTGAACATTATTGAGCGCTTGAAGTTGTGCATATTATCGTTTTTTCCGTAAACTAGCTGCGGTAGAACGATCAGTACAAAAAAAGGAAAATAGTATTTGCAAATTTTCTACATAAACTTACAATAAGAAGAATAATTCTACTGTTTATATCTCTTATATTCTATATATCTATCTACTTAAATTGGAAATAGTCAAAATCTTATCTAAGGGGGTAAACGAGGCGCTCAAAAATTACGATTTTTGGAAAAAAATGTGAAAGGGCTCTTAAGTGACGGTGTAGTCCAGACGCGAAGATTGTTGATACAGCAGTTCTACCTGCCACACCAGCCATCCTCACCCTGCTGGCCTGCATTTTGCTTCTCCACGCCTTTTTTAAAGAATCCCAGGTTGTAAGAAGGAATACGTGAGCGGGCAGAGCATTCCATTTACGGATAGTGCGACAAAGAAATAAGTCACCAAATTTCTTTGTACGCATTTGAATTGTTTATGTATTTAACGCTTTACGGTTTCTTACCTTTGTTTACTGTTTGCCACAGACTTCTTTGTTTTTTTTTGTTGTTAACTAAAAGTTCCCGTTCATAGATTATTTTTAATTTTTTGATTAGGCTAATGCAAAAGTTACGGTACCTTCTGTAAGTTACTTTTAAAATATCATTATAATATATTGTTTTAAACTTTCATGGTCACTAACATTATAGTAATATAAGTTATTTACGGGATTGTTACCATGCAGTACCTTTTTTTTAGCGAGTTTCCGATATTTCGGCACTGTTGCAAGCGCCATGATCACGGAGTAACTGAAGTAATTGCGGGTAGGCTGTTATTGGCAGACATATCGGTCTACCCTCCGACGAAGTCTTTTATTGTGTTCGATATCGGAAACTCGCTAAAAACAAGGTACTGCATGGTAACAATCCCGTAAATAACTTATATTACTATAATATCATTATAATGGTCAGTTCGCTAGTGCTAATTTTGTGGTCTTCTGTAAGATAGATTATTTCCCCAGACGGGCGCTCCAATTCGTGCGGAAAATCTGTTATGTCCTACCTCAATATTAAGAGTGTGTTTAACGTTGTTTTCTTTTTATCTGGGTAGGTATTTCTATTTAAATTTATTATACTTAACTAAAATGTGCTTTTACAATAATTATATATTATCTTTAAATCTAAAGAACGGTTTACTAAAAATAAATCCACGCGGACCAGGCAGCGGACGGGACTCGAACCCGCACCTTTCGCAATCCGGGCGAATGCACTGACCATTATGCTACCACGGCCCTATTCGCCGCGTCGAAATTTTCCTAGCCTTAAGCTGCAAGACAGCGCCATATCTTCGCACTGTAGGTAACCCACATTTTTTTTTCTAGTAAACTTTTCTTTAGATTTAAACATCTAGCAGTTAAATGCTTAAAAATAAATAAAAAAACATACCTAAAGTTTTATTTCGGACTTTTGTCACACCCTGTATATTATCTTGATAAGATAGCTGCAGTCGTACTATTTCATTATACTCTTACTCTTAATGAAAGTGAGGTCGGTGCCATGTCATTACCAGCAGGCTATGATCACACAACGAAAATCTATTTCGTCATTCTCTCATTTATTAGATAGATGTGACATAGTGTGCTTCATGCAGTATGTTATACTACTTCGCTAATTAGTTTTTCATTTTTTTTGGGGTGAAGTTTGTCACCCATTGAGTTTAGAACCTTTCATATTTTATGAAGTAAAAATTCAAAAAAATCAAAAAAAATCAAAATTCAATATCGTTTATTCAGTCTAGGCTGTTACAAGCACTTGTGAATGTCGAAAAGCTACGCCATGGGTTCGCAAATCTACGGCGGGAGACCTTGTACTGAGAAGAACCGGCAAGAAACTCAGCAAGGGCTGTTTTTTTCTCCCTGTATTATATACAGAGTCGTCAAATTGAAAAATGACTTCAATATGAGGTAACTCATAAAGTCACTTTCCATTACGAACAAAAAAAAATGCAAATAATATAAAAATTATGACTATAAAATAAAAAATAAAAATATGTAAAAAAAAATGGTTTAACAAAGTTTAGGAATGACGTGTCCTACCGTTTAGGCAAAAAATAATAATAAAAATAATAAACGCATATGAAATCATCTTTATTAGTACAACAGAAAATTGGAGTATCCAGAAATTTGTTGCTTGGGTGCGGAGTTGTCGGTGTTGGTGTTGTGTGCTTTAAGGTCTCTACCCATTACACCGTATCATACCATGACCGTGCTATGAATGTGTCAGGTAAAAAAGTATTCTTTGTATTGAAACGTATGGGACTATGCTCACTTGACCGTTCCGTCACCAACCAACAACGTAGCGTGTATGCACGGAGCGGCAACTATTCTCGATGACAATATTTTGCCGGTGCTGATACGCTGCGTGCTGATACGGAACGGTCTAGTGAGCATAGTCCTATACTTTTCAATACAAAGAATACATTCTCTAAAATTAGTGTTTGTTTTCAAAATGTCATTGTGAATGTTTTTCAATAACATATTGAATTGGAATTGAGACATTCGGAAATACTGGAAAAACTTTTCTTCATCATCAACTAAATGCATAAATAATGTCCAATATTCCCCTTTGGTTTTTTGTTCTTTTATATAATCGTGAATCCAGTAGCGTCAAGTTCTTGTTGTACGTTCTTCTTCATCCAATATTATGGCAATCATTGACAAATGTCTAGCGGTTCTTCTAATAGCCATACTTATATAATGACGTCCGCTACAGTCTGATAAGCACATAAGAATGACGGATTCCGAATCAACTACGTTACACACGAAGATAGTACGGGTTGTATGCGGTCATCATACGCTTTACAAACGGGTACAGAACGCCATCAATCCGTACAGTGGGCAAGGTAGAGCGTGTCGTATTATTTTCGTGTCTGACACGTTCATAGCACGGTCATGGTATGATACGGTGTAATGGATAGAGACCTTAATTTTATTCTCACCGAAACTATTTTCTTTAGATTTAAACACCAAGCAGTTACATGCTTAGAAAATATTAATTATAAATATTTATCTCACTGATCAATTTATAAATATTTTTTTCTTTGTTTTTATGTTTATGTAAATGTACCATAACAATTATATGTCCAATGAATGTTTAATTATTTTTTGTATTTCATTTCAATTTTAATTTCGTTTATTGTATTGTGAATTTTAATCTGACATTTAATTGCGTGACCTCATCTATATGGGTCAGAACTGAAAATCAGCGATTTACTCTCTGAGTAAAAAATGTTACGCTGAGTTTTCGCCCATTCGCATCGCTGCTGCACACGAAATTATCATATTATAGTTGTATTAATATACTTTGTTGTTCTAAAGAATTTCTATAATTGTAAAATTTGTCTTCAATTTTGTATGTGTGCATGTTGGTGCGAATAAAGTTTTATCTATCTATCTATTTTAGTAATCCAGACTTCACTGATGACACTCAATTGAGAAGATAATTCTCGGAATTACTCTAAATGAAATTCAGTTTGTATTAATGAAAGGCTAGGAGTACACAAGAATAGAATGACAAAAATATATTGATAGATTTCAATACCTGCTTAATAGCCCAACCAGAAAAAAAATTGTGTGTGTCAGCTCCGACGCACGACTGGAGTTTACATATAATTATTTTTTTATTTAAAATATAATATTATCTTAATAATTAACAAAAATGGTTATAAAAAGATAATTATGTCACTAAATCTTTTACGTACAATAATAAGACACATGGACGTTCGTAGATACGTGGTTCACGAATCTTGAAAATACCGCATCAATGGTGGTACCATACCTCGTTGTCCCCATTGCTCTATCAGAAACCATATCTA